TAAGTATAAATATATTTCAAAAATAGCGAAAATTTAGATACAAAAACTTAAATTTGTTTTGACAAAATATGATTTTGCTTACCATGGATTCTGAGATAGCAAGAGGAAGTTATAGGGGAGATAACTCTAACATTCGTATGCTCCGCTAGGCTGAGGTAACAACCAACCAATACACATAAACCTAATTTGTGCTTAGATACATCAATTTAATTTTTAACATTAAATTTTAGTATATTGAATCCATGTGTATATGTATATGATTAAATGTCCATTTATGTCTGTATCCGGGTACATTTGTGTATGGGATTGTAGAGTTATCTTGTACAGGTTTACAGGAACTCAAAATCGCAAATACAGCAACTCATCGCCTGCAGCACATACAGAAACATGCAAGCATTCATTACTACATTGGGACACAACCTTATATAGCCTTAGCTGTTAATATTACAATAAAATAAAATATAAATAAGACGAATCTTTGCACAGTTTTGGGGAGGATAACCAATGGTAGTTAACCATTTGTATGACCGATAAACCAGCGATATTTGTTGTATTTAGGTGCAGATTTCAATGAGTATTCAACGCATAAAGCATGACATATTTTAACGTCGATGGCGCTTTTATAACATAACTGCTACGCTAACTTCGCAACTATGAAGTCGCGTTCAGATGTTATGACATTCAACACACGGTTCATGCCCAAAAAATTACCTGGTCGTAAAAAGGCAGTGTTGATAATACAACGTTATTGCGGTTTGCATAAAAATTTAAGAAGTGATGACAACGGCTCTGTTGGATAAATATAAGCTATATGCTAATATTAATATGTGTTGTGGTTTTACAATCTTAATGGTTGTCCTCTGTTTTAAGGACTATATTCAGTAGCGTTGATCGAGTCATCCCTTTATAACGCTCTTGAAATATAGCAATGACCTTTTTCCTTTTATAGGAATAACTACGCCCATGCGTTTGTAGTTTGTGTTACGAACCAATTACTCCTGGACATCTTCATATGATTTTTATGCTTTCTTAATATAAAATAGACATTTTATACTGAAATTTATATTTATTTCAGCTACAATTAGGAAGAAGACAAGCGCCGTTGACATCCGAACTTCCTCGAAGACCATCGGTTATTTGGGAGCAGTGTTCCTTGCTATTCCCATTATTTTGGTGGTAGCCATGGATCTCATTAGGCTAAACAAACCACTCAAATCTAAGCAGATTCCATAAAAACGAGATCGAAAAGACGCATATTGTGTGGTCTAACAACAGATATTATAAAGTACGCAATGGCAATTATTGCATTTTTTATGATTCAATTATTTATAGGATTTGAGTCACGTCATGACACTTTGTTGTTTCTTTGAGCAAGATACTTTACTCCGTTTGTTCTAGTTTACTCAGCTGTTAATGAGTACGTGGTTGGGCAGTGCTAGAATGGTTGATGCTACGTGTGAGCGCCGAGGTGGCAGCACCGGCTGTATGCTCCCCATGGCGTTGAAAAAGATATTGGCTGGTTGCAAAGGCCCTATGACCACGGATAACAATTTGTTATCAAAGAGACAACCTACGTTTGAACCTGGAATTATTATTAATATTTAATCATTATTTCATCAATTAAAAGAGGATTTTTTTTCATTCAAATATCACGTACAACTGACAACAACTGTAACTACATGTAGATTTGTATACTATCGCTCTAACCGGCTCAGTTATCTGGCAAACAGAAGTGTCCTGGCCCAGTTGTGCTGCAGTTATATCGAAAACGAAATAAAGGGGTTGTGACTGTCTGGAGGATAAACCATAGTGAAGTGGGACAGGGATCCGGAACAATTTAAGAATACAGTTTGGCAGTTTCTGGAGATGTATATTTTCATTTTACCTGGCATATGATTTATGTTTTAATCAGTTGATATTGGAAGATGACGACCGACCTCCATTGAGGTATCATTGGCAGATATGAATTTCTTATCATAATGGATAAATTAAAATGGGCAAACAAATTTGTATATTTGAAACTGAATACGAGTGTTTTAGATTCTAAACAATCACATTCAATTAGTAGAGATCAAATATCATCGGCGAACAAATATCTTTTGTCTATCGATAACGTTTTAAAATGTAGTCTTGAAAACCTATCACGTGTGATCGACAACAATCTGTCGTAGGAACTGATCCACAGTTTACTAGTCGCACAATGTGGACGAAAACATCTCTTTTTGTAACATACAAAATATTTTGTTATAACTGTTTCATAATTTCGTATTTCATTGCTTAACACACATACCTAATTACTTCATTCATTACCATTTAAAACAACCACATATTTCAATATTTAGATACACAAATCCTGATGTTGCTTTTTATACAC